TCTCTCTCTTTCTCTCTCTCTCTCTCTCTCTCTCTCCCTCCCTTTCCATCCTTCTCTCTCTCTCTCCCTTCCCACCCTTTTCTCTCTCTCTCTCTCTCTCTCTCTCTCTCTCTCTCTCTCTCTCAAATTATGCAAAGTTGCAGTGTGTTTCATTCACATAAAAACATGCACTCCTATATTGTTTTACCAAATAAATAGCCTGTGGTACGTACTACTGCTGCTTCCAGCAAACTTTTTCTGAGACCAATTTACAGCATTGTTTCTGTGCTGTAAGAATCTCGATTATTCATTTTGTTTCATCTTTTAAATTATTTTACCTGTTACATGCACACAGACCAAATATTACACTTTTTGTTGGACGATATGACATTTCCTGTATTGGGATATAACTAACAGTATATAACATTTATGCCAAAATCAATGTTGAAATATTTTATGGTTTGTATTACAGAAAATATACCATAGGCCTACATTTTCATTCTATGTGTTGGGTCTTTTTTAAATCATACCAGCTGATACATTAAAAGTTAATGCTCAGTGATTGTGCCTCTTATTTGTTCGGTTTGAGACTGACAGGTCTATTTTGTTTGTGTGTACAGTACGAATGTGTATGTATTTTTTACGAGAGAAAAGGTAAGAGATAGACAGAGAATGTCTCTGTCTGTCTCTCACTCTCTCCCTTTCTCGTGTATAGATTTATTATTTTTCAAATTATTATGCAAAATTGCAGTGTGTTCCATTCACACAAAAACATGCACTCCTATATTGTTTTACTAAATAAATAGCTGTGGTACATACTACTGCTTCTTCCAGCAAACTTTTTCTGAGACCACTTTACAGCATTGTTTCTGTGCTGTAAGAATCTAGATTATTCATTTTGTTTCAGCTTTCTAAGGAGTTTATTTGTTATATGCACACAGACCAAGTATTGCACTTTTTGTTGGACGATATTACATCTTCTGTGTAACGTTCATGCCAAAATCAATGTTGAAATATTTTTATTGTTTGTATTACACAAAATAAACCATACATCTTCATTCCATGTGTTGGGTCTTTTTTATTTGTTCGGTTTAAGACTGGCAGATCTGTTTTGTTTGTGTGTACAGTACGAATGTGTATGTATTTTTTATGAGAGGAAGGGTTAGAGATAGACAGAGAATGTCTCGGTCTGTCTACTGTCTGTGTCTCTCTCCTCTCTCTCTCTCTCTCTCTCTCTCTCTCTCTCTCTCCTCTCTCTCTCTCTCTCTCTCTCTCTCTCTCTCTCTCTCTCTCTCTCTCTCTGGTGATGGGGCAGTTTGACTGTTTGGATTCCTCCATATCCTCTTTGGGGAGGAGGGGGCGAATTTTTCACCAGCAGCACAGTTAAGTGGTTATATAGACACGTTTTCAACAAAGTTTAGCAGTTGTGAAAATTTTAGCAGAATTGTAGAACTTACTTTTTTTCGCGGGAATAAGGACTACGACCTGAGAAATTAAGAGGAGACAATGATGAAAACAAAACACTCACCAAAAAATGTGACAATATCTCTGAGTACAATGTATTAGTCTACACAATCTTCAAATTAATTATATATCAGTTTGACGTTCAACCCGTCCTATTTGGACGATCCAATTTTGATGTGTCCCAGTTAGGACTGTCGAAGCTACACAATACGCACCATGCAGATCCAAAAGGGTCTGGATTAGAATGTATTCGTGAATCGATACGATACATATATGTTATCATAATATCTTCATTTTTATCATATGTCATCATATCTTCTTTTTTTATCATTGTTGCAAACCTTTTTCATATTTTTTTTTTCTTTTTGTAAAGACGTCGAGAGGCTGGTGGGGATCCGATGGCACTGACACTGAAAGTCGAAGAACCGAACATCGCCTGTGACCTCCACCTGGGAGTAGGTGCTCGTCATATTAATATTAATATATTATATTTATCCTGTCTTTGCCCTTAGTGGTCTTTTGTTGGTTTTGGTTGTTTCTTTTGTTTGTTTGTTGTTGTTGGGATTTTTTGTGTGTGTTGTTTTTGTTGTTGTTGTTTTTTTGTGTTTTTTTTTTGGGGGGGGCTCTAAAGTAAAGCTAGGAAATTTTAAAGGACGCGTGACCTAGATGTATTACAGTAACTGAAACCAAAAGTTCAGTTTTTCTTATAAGTTTATACTTATGGACAGTCAAATTCGTACGCAACGTCAGCACACACTACCCCCTTCTCATCCCCTAAAGTTTCAAAAACTTTCTCAGCAGAATCTTTGGTTTTAATATCCTTGTCTTGAAACCAGAATAACGGGCTGATCACGCCTCTGTAAGCTGAACGCTTTTACATCAACACATTAAGTTTTGCGTTTGACTAAAATTGTGTGTGTTTGTGTGCTTTACTCTCTGTCCATGCGTGTGTATGTATGTGTGTGAGTGTGCGTGTATGTGTGTGTCCCATGTGTGTGTTTGTGTCATGTTCGTGTGTATATAAGTGAGTGTGTATATTGGAAATGGGGGGGCAGAACATTCAAATTTCAAGAGACCTTAGAGAGACGACCCCCAATTCAAGTATTCAAATTGGACGAATTGCAATTCTGGTAGAGGAATTGAAACATAAGCACATATAATATTGCCAAGCCAGAAAATGTTATTAACTGTCGTGAAAATAGTGTAACAAGAAGAGAAAACAAAAAATCACCGCTGAGATGCTATGCAGTTGGAGAAGTTTATTAGGTTTGCCATTTAATGAAGTTCTTTTAAAACAGAATGCTCACCGATGGAATGTAGAAATCGAAACATAACCGAACTTTTTTTTAAGGGGCGGGGGGGGGGGGGAGTAAATTGGAAAGGAATTCCGAATAACTGTCAGCACAGAGCCTAGAACACTATTTTGCTCTATTCATTTTGTCACGTCTTAGATATTTAGCTTAGAACAGCAGATGAAAGACTAGAGAGGAAGCCTAGAACTAGAATGGGGTTTTGATCTGAGATCATGGTACAGACCAAGTTATTTTTGGATTGTGATTGGTTTTGTTGTGAGACAGGGCAAAGACATTTCCATTCATTTTATGACCAGGATGTTCATCAATTCTTCTTTATTTCTAAAAATTGTTTGACTGCATATAGAATCTATTATGTTAAATAGGCCTGAGGACATAATACAGTCTTGCCTACCCCTCTTTTCATTATCTGTTTATATATTTATATAGTATAGTATACTCCCCCTCGATCCTCACAACAGTGTTTTGGTCCAGTAAAGATTCGTGATAATTCTCAAATCCTTTCCATCTATGTCAAAGTGTTAAAAAAAAGTTTATCATGTTTTACTTTGTCGAAAGCCTTTGAGTTATCAATTAAATTCATGTACATTATATTAATCAAGGAGGTTATGTACAGTAATGGAGGCTGCTCTATGGGCGGCAGCGCACGCCTGACAGAAGCCCTATATATCTCGCAATGGAACCATGGTCAACCTGCTGCCCGACTCTCGCACTGAACTCTGGATAGGAAAGAGGGGTTTTATTCTGAGATCCTTGAGGCTAGGCAAGCCAGTAGACTTATTTTATGGTTATAACCCATTTATCTCATTACTATGACTGAAGTCTAAATCTAGATGTCATAGCGGCTCCACATAAAAAAGCAGTACCTGCTTAACAACAACAGTGAATAACTTATCTGTTAAAGAAAGATGGGGAGGGGGGGGGGGGTGAGTCTTTTTAAATAGTTCTGCCCAGTTAATCTACCATTGTCGTCTCCACCTGAGATCCCATCGTTTATGATCCCGGTTCACTTAATTAAGATTCCGTTGTTTTAACAAACGAACAAACAAACAAACAAACAAACAAAAAAAAAGAAAAGAAACGAACCCCCGAAAATAACAAGTTTTACTAATCAAAAGTCACATATAAAATCCCATACTCTGTAGTCTGAAGTTCCCGCATCATGTTTTAGATCACGTTTTATTGAACAAAAAACCTTCATAGATCATTCACACTCAATACGATCACCTCCCCATATTAATATAATATACATATTTCCAAACAACATTGGTAGGGTGAATATAGCATAGGCCTACACTCTATTTTATTCCGAGTGCCGCCCTTCATGTCAGGAAGGCCAAATTTAATTTAGGATATTCTCTTGTCTTATGGCGAAAACATAGAGAACGCCGATTTCGGAGACTGACTCAGTAAGCGCCGATAGGTATAAAAACTCCCTTATGATTTCCAACTTGCCCCACATAGATCTGGCCGACTGCAGGCGGCTTTAAACTCGGATCGGAGTTGTCGGCTTTATCGGAATCCAAACTACATTCTTATTACGCCGAAAAACTGGGAAGGGCGTCTCGCTGTCAACTCACCACCGCAGTGCTTTCTTGTCGTATTTCCATTTTTTAACAGTGAAAATGAGACTTCTTCTTTAACTCACATTTTGTTATGAACTGTTTTCACTGTTATTAAAAATGGAGGTACGACAAGAAAGCACCGAGGTCGCGAACTGTCAATGCCGTCTCGCCGTCGCCAACTCGGGTTCAGCGGTTTGTGTGACGTAACCCGACTGGACTGGGGACAATTTTAAATGGTCATTTCAGAGCTGGTGCTTCACGGTAGACAAAAACTAATTACATTTTTTAAATCAGCATCGTCAAAATAGGGTGGTCTCCGAGCAGAATTGCATTTTAAGCAATTTTAAAGAAAATTAGTGTTTTTCCCCCAAAAAAATATTATGCTTCATGAATACCAGCTGTGTTGTGGTGTAATTAATTTTAATTTTTTTCTTACATCTAGAATCTAGCTCTAGGTATCTCGGCTTTACTGTGTCAATAGATTGTGATTTTGAAGAGACGAGGCCTGTGTAGTTTTTCGTTGTGCGTCTAGAGATCTGCTTATCTGGCTGTGTCGTGTCTTGTCAAAATGGATGTCGATTTACAATAATAATAATAATAATAATAATAATAATAATAATAATAATACTAATAATAATACTAATAATAATAATAATACTAATAATGAAGATCATTTCTATAGAGCCCACTCTCGTGTAAACACAGCTCTGGGCGCTTTACATAAAAATACATGTACGAACAATATTCACGCACGCGACACAAACACAAAAATACACACACTCATACACACACACAAACACACACATATACACACACACACAAACACACACATACACACTCACGAACACATAACACGCACACATGTGCACACACATGTACGCCAAACACACACACACACACACACACACACACACACACACACACACACACACACACACACACACACTCACTCGCATCCACTTGCTTATCAAACGCGCACGCTTACACGTCGTCACGAAATGAGCATAAAATAATCTACACAATGCAATTCACAAAATACATAAATGGATACATAGTCATTTACATAACATTGTATTGAACCTGAATCTACAGACAAAAAAAGATGTCATTAAATGTATCTTTAAAGATTTTAAAAAATTTAGACTCAGATGTTGTATGTCTCAAGGGTTGGGGAAGAGAGTTCCAAACTGACGGAGCAAGGTGGGCGAACGATCTTTCAGCTAATTTTTTACCCCCTTTTCTAGGAACTCTTAAAAGATACTGATCGCCTGATCTTAGTGATCTAGATGGAACATAAATCAGGATGAGATCACTAAGATATGAGGGAGCTTTGTTATTGACACATTTATGACATAATATTGCAATTTTATATGACATTCTACCGGACACGGGAAGATAATCTCTCTCCTCTCTCTCTCTCCCTCCCTTTCTCTCCCTCCCTCTCACCCTCTCCCTCCCTCCCTCCCTCCCTCTCCCCCCTCTCTCTTCCTCTCTCTCTTTCCCCCTCTCTCCCCCCTCTCTCCCCCCTCTCCTCCTCCCCCTCTCGGATGATAAGTCCATTCTTGTAAATTTGTAATCACTTAAGACCTAGAACTAGATTCTAGACACGGTAGATGTAGGCAGACTAGACAACAGTAGATCAATGCAACGCGAGCTTAAAGGGATCGGCAATAGGCGTCCTCTATGTGGAGTCAAGCAGACACCTACTGGCGCCTGTCCGAGTAAGTTTCGACTTTCTTTATGTTATCGCCCTTAGCCTAGACTTGTTCTCATTCTTTCTACCAGTGTTTGCAGCATTTTCCCCCCTTTTCCTTTTTTCAGAGGGGGGGGGGGAGTGTTTGTCGGATTTATTTTTTTTACGAATCATCCCGGTTCTGTTCTGGTGGGGTATTTATCTTTGTCGAGATAACAATAAATTGTATAACAACAAATAACAACTGACTACAACGAAGTAAAAGTAACTAAATTAGGACGTTTGTGTTGATATTTGTCGTTATTTTATTGTTATTAGTTGTTATCAGTTGTTATTTGTTGTTATCTCGACAAAAATAAATATCCCACCAATTTATCGGAAAAAATAAATTAGGACGTTTGTGTTGATATTTGTTGCTATTTTGTTGTTGTTTGTTGTTATAAGTTGTTATTTGTTGTTATCAGTTGTTATCAGTAGTTATCTGTTGTTATATGTTGTTATCTCGACAAAGATAAATACCGGGTCACGCTCTATAGTCTATATTTAAATATGCACCTGGTGATTTAAGCAAAGCTATTCAACTGACTAAATCATATTTTCTTCAAGAATCTTACACTGACATAAATAAAATTTGACAGCTCTGTTATAATTTCACTACCCATTTTTGTAGTATGACGATCATTTTAAATGGAATACTGTCTGACCGTGGCCTCGGTCACACAGCAAAAAAATTGCTTAGGTTACTTTCAAATATTGATCACCGTAGCAACCCAGCGGGAAAAACAAACCGGATGTCACGTGCAATCTGTTTGTCACATGATATACCAAAACAAAATGGCAGCCGCCAGCGGAGATGCTTCAAATGATGGAGGCTCGAAGACTTTGAATGAGCATTTGTATAAAGTCCTTGTTATTGGTGAATTCGGCGTCGGTATGTATTTCTTCGGGGAAAATCATGTCCTTTAAGTTTGGGAACTATTCGAAATTCAGATACATGAACATATATTTCAGAGTAGAAACCTAGACCGCTTCTTCACTTCAACTTACTAAACTTCACTTCAACTTCAGCTTCTCAGCAGTTTACTTTTACTTGGAGATTATAGATCTAGATCTAATTTTATTTTGGGAGTGTATACAGAGCCGGTAACCGGGAACAAAGTCACAAAGTATACAGACCGGGAAGATTGCGGATGTCTTTTCGATGAACTATCGTTTTTCCTCCGTTTTGGAGTTGGAGGAATCACAATTTGAAGAAAAGAACAAGTTACAATGTCATAATTTCAATTGAGCAGTCC